GGAGTTCTCTTGTTACAATTACATTGCACACATGTCCCTCCAAACAGCCAATTGGAATTCACTCGTACTCAGCGTAGGCTCCGTCCATCCGCAATACATCCTTCGACTGAAGCTGTCAACTCGTTATCGACAGTAGGATCCGTAGAGGTTTGGACGTCAACACACTACGTATACATGTCAGTTGAACGCTTTCGCGGGTTCAATACTTGTCGTCACCTGGTAGATTTCTACGAGGAGGATAGTTGACCTCTAATGATTGCTGTCACACAGAAAACCGAAAGACTCCCAGAACCGCCGTATTTCCCGTCATCTGCGCCTCCGGATCTTGAGCAGACGTATGGCCACAGAATCAGAGTACCAGCGAAAGGAGTTGCTGAGACTGGGATGGGTGTTGAGCCGTAAACCTCAAATGTTTCCGCGGGTTTGCGCATCACTTGGCTAAAGGACCATTCGGTCCGTGGCACAAGGTGTGACGGCAGCGATCTCTTCCACAATCCTTTGAGAAGACAGACCTGCACTATTTGGTACTATTCAAACCCATTTTGCATTGTTAAATACCCCACAGCGCTCCAGACCGACGTATCGTCATGTAACATGTCAGGCCTCAGGTTCTGAAGAAGTCGCATCGAACCCCATGTGATGTGTCGGCAAATTATCCTCGTGACGCTTCTGACCGGGACCATCTCTCTTCGAGCCTCGAGGTAAGTATGCCTTTCTACGACACATATCATCTCCTGTCTTTCCTGAACTTCGACTTCTAGTTCGGAGCATGAATAAGACGCGCCTTTCGTCTCGAGAAACGTTATACTTTTGTATATCACATCACTTACGATAACTCTCATTGCGGCGTTCACCTTTCCTTTGGGTCGTATAAATCCGTCCGAATGTCAGAAAATTGTATTGATCTGTTTGTTGAGATGCTCAGGGGGGAGGGGGCTGTAGCTTGACTGTGCGCAATGTCCTATTCCATCGGGGAACACTCTGACTCGGTATGAAGCTTGATGGCAAGTAGGATAGTGTGCCGACGAGCCAAAGTGAGCCAACTGGTCAGAGATTTGACTCGCGATAGGCTCTTCAGGTTGGGTTTCAACGCTGAGTCTATGGGATGGGCCTGGTGGGTTTTACATAGTGAAGCTCGATTTATCACAGCTCATGTAGATTGTATGTAGATTCTTTGACTCCGATCTTCAAATCCTGTCTCCAGATTGAGGGTGCAGATATCCTAGGACAAACTAAACCCTCTTGCCTAAATGCTTCAACTTCCCAGTTATGCCTCCGCTACCCTCCTTTCGAGCTTGCCCAAAGGTTGGGGTCCCTTTGACACACCGTACGGAGATTGAATGCGGCGGCTGTGTTCAAAGTTTGGTGACCCTGGATTGCGGATTCAGATCGGACAACTTCAGAGCGACGTCCCCAAATCTCCTTGCTTTCTTTCAGTTTCGGTGGGCACAATGGTGTTTTCGAGAAGGACTGCGTCCTTACCCTCTTTTTCCAGACTCTGCTTCGAATTGTTTCTCACGAAGTACGAGGCATGAAAACTCTTATGATAAATCAGCACGTTGCACCGCACCTTCACATGCTCCCCTGGCCGCGTTCCTAAATTACGCGTTAACTTTTCATACCGAAACACATTTCAAATTTCAATGTATATAATAATGTATGACACTACTCACTATACGTTTAAGTTTGTCATAGCCAATAATAATGTCGCACTGGCATCGGTCGGTCGCTACAAGTCAGCTTCCGTGCTGAATAAGCGCCGACATACGAACCAGCTTGATTTCTCGGTGGCTTTAGGCAAGCTTGCTCCGCCTCCTTCACTGCGAAGGGATTAGTTGCCGACCTGCGAGTTAAAGACCAGATCCCTTCAAATGGCTCCCAGACCCGGTACTATGGCTCAAAGGATCTACAGTCCGAGTGTATAAAAAGGCGCGAAAGCAAGGTCTATCGAATTTCGACCCTCATTGCCTCCCTCCACTCGAAACTTGCTCAATCTTGTAGCTCAAAAAGACCATTATGGATCCCGCAGAATGGTTTCCTGGCGCCTCGGATTCTTCAAAGAGCTCCCAAGCACCCCAACAGTATACCTTCGTCTCAATGTCAACTGTCGAGGATCTTTCCTATTCTCCAACTGCGAACCAAAAACGGGTTGACGCTGCTCAGGTTGCAGCCACCGGACGCCGTAGCTGGAAGACACTAAAAGGCAGACCTGAGGCTGTCTGGCCACCAGCACTGTGAGTTTCGTTCTGTCGGGCCGATCGAGCGAATTATTGGCTGACAGGCATTGTCGCAGGGAGGGTGCCTTGATTGAAGGTGAGATGACTGCTATTGATTTGTGGTCGTCCCGAAAATTGACCTATTTGCATAGCATTGGAAGAGTATCGAAAAATCGAAGCTCGGCCAACCAATAGCAAACACGGTGTTCGCTATCCTATGCGAAATCGTTACATATCCGACTTTATCTTTGAGAAGACCGGTAAACAGAGGACTGCAAAGCAGGTTGGCAGTCGTCTTCAACAACTTCGTGACACATGTAAAGACGAACGACGTACGATTTTCCGTCGCATCCGTTTGGGTGTATTGTTGACATTGCCGCAGTGTCCCTACTTCTCGGAAAATCCACACCATCGCTGGACCAGGAGTTCAAGGCGGAATCGTCGTCGTCGTCTTCCATTTCTCTGAGTCGAGAGCCCACAGTCTCTCCTCCACCTTCGGAAGAAACTAGGATGGTTGTGTATATGCAGATAGAGCTTGCCACACCAGAGGGTACTCACCAGCTTCCTCGCATTCAGTTCATGTCCAACGACATGAATAGCCCCCATGCTCTCTACCTGCTCCCGTTGACTACTCGAGAAATCTCTTCGAGGTACGGAATCCTGTCGATGTTTTCCAACGTCGTCGAAATCTGCTCCCCATGGTCATTGGCCAGAGAGGTGACTTGGTCAGTCTACAAGGACTCCACTCTGATCCACAAAGAAGCGAGTAGCCTGAACGTTACCCCTGCCTCGTCGGGGCGCGTGTATGCCTGCGAGCTCGTGCCAGAGTACTGGAGCCGACTGTGCAAGAATGAGGGTGTGTGAAACTTTTGCTAAACTAGCATCCTACCTTTGATCTAACCACATCCATCAGACCCAAATCACATCACAATCGTCCAAGTTCTCAAGCCTGCAGTCACATCATCGTTGGCCAGCGCTGTGTCGATGCCAGTGACGGTGCGGTCTTTGCAGAAAGAGATATCAATCGTATACCACTTCAATATCCCGGACGCCTTCGACATGCAGCGAAGAGCTTCCGCCTCTACGAACGAACTTGGCTACAATCCCTCCCCTTCTTATCAACTGACTTCTGACTTCGAGACTCCGTCGATGTACCCGGGTCATTCCATTGGGCAACACTCCTCGCCTTACTGGACACCAGGACCAGGTCCGCAGCAATCGTACGAGCACCAGGGAGCGGGCCAATCTCGGGGGACTCGCTCCACGCCCCACTCGCATCTGTCGGGGGATATACACTCAAGTTACACCCACTCACCTCAAGCGGCAAACCAAAACACATGGGGCGGTGCGTACAGAGTCGACGAATATGCTACTCATGATTATCAACCCACCGGGGTCGTCGTTCCCTCGTCCTACGACTCTACACCTCGGGCTTCACAGTGGGGTGGAGTAACTTCGAACGACATGGGATTTGGGCGCCGTGAAACCATGACTAGCCCTCTTAACTATGCCCCGTGCTATTAATTAATGGCATCGGTGCGAAGGTTTTCATATCTTTTGGGACTCTTTTCGTGGATTTTTTTCTTCACAGGACTACTTCATTCAAGGCTCATTGTTATCGCTAGTCTCGCATGCACTTCCAGGCTCGGAGCTCAGCTCATATGATATATGTAAACTAATCTTGCTTTCTCGTTGGAAATTGGGCTAGGAATCGTCGATATCACATTGTACCATACTGTCGCATTCTCCAATTGCTATGCAACCCTCATCTTTTCATATTTCCTTTGTACACTCGTCCGTTCATATTCGAATTAATACGCTTTCACTGCATCAACATAATATTTATTTGACATGAGATGGCAGGTCTACAGTACCCATCTCACACGAAGACCGAGCCAAAATACCAATGTAGACGACCATAAAGGTATGCAAATCGATTCTATTTCGCGCAGGCAACATATATTAATGGCACAAATGTACAAACTCGGCACGAATGAAGTCCATCCTGCCGTCGCAAGCGCTCAAACTCTAGAACCCCTTGCGCGTTGGCCCCTTTTGGGTCGCGTTCTTGACCATCCCAAATCGTTTAGGTAACATCTACGATCTGATCCCTGCCAATGCCACGAGGCTGTAACATGACCTACGGAATGGTGAAGTAATTCCCGAACAGGAACTTGCCAAGCAACAAGCAGAGAAGGGGTCTCAACAGCGCCAGTGAAAAAAGATTGCTTACACCGAACTGTATTGCCCTATGAATAGAGTCTCTTGAGCAGAGAGGTCTAGACTGCTTAGCTGAGCTACTCAGTCAATCTTCATAGCGGCTTGCGGGAATGTGGAGCGATGTTGACGAGAAGTACAAAGCCATCGCAAACCCCATTACATTGAGTGAAACATTGAAAAAACTGCCCTATCGACTGCTTCAATCTACAAGTCAACTCTATCTCACGAGGCACAGAGCCGGGACCCCTTTACACCTTCAAGCATCGCTGAATACAGGAACCATAGCCGCTCTAGAAGCATTTACAGCTGGTTCCATAGAAACTTTCGAACCCCCATTCGCAAACTCTATCTCGATTCTCTGCAGAAATGTTACAAGACTTTTCGCACTCAAGAGGGACTTACCACGGGCAGATGATATAGTTCAGATGTGATCAAAAGGATCAGAAGTCGATTCAACAGAATCATAGTCAGTCATACTTAGTCACTGACTGGTTCTGCCCTTTCTCATCGAATCAAAGCCCACAAAGGCGTGGCGCTCGAAATAACGAATGGAAAAAAATATTATGCCACGTACCCGGATTGAACGAATGACCTTCCCATGAACTTGCTTGATAACCAAGCTGTTACAAGTGGGACGCGCTACCACTACGCCAACGCGGCTTATAATCGGACCGCAGCACGTAGTACAATACGGCGGCGCCCGGAACAATTATCCTAATAAAAACCCAAATCATATGAAGTGTTGCGACGGGCACAAGACCTCAGAACCAGGCGTAGTGTGAGGTATTGGGTTAGAAGCTCTCAAAACCTGAATGGGATGTCGATGGCGTTGGCACGTAAGACGATTATGGATTCAATCAACAAGTATCGCTACATAACTCGTGCATAGCATAAGATCCGGGCAGTTACTCATCATCATCGTCATCATCTGCCTCTTCGAGCCACTAAGAAAATATCATGTCAGCACCCGGCAAATCTTCAGCATGGGATTGCATGACATACCTTCAAGAAGGGCTCGCTAGCCTTCCTGACCCTCTTGCTAGTGTCCCTGTCGACATACTTCTTGCTGACGTGGGTCCCCCATTGCGTAATGACCTCCTCCTCGAGGATGTCAAATTGATAGAAAGCCATCAGGACTTTCGGGATGTCTGCCACAAGGTCGGGGTACATGAGACCAACAAGACGCTCCACTCCTCCGAGAAGGGCCTTTTGATGCTTCTCGCTAGTAACCATCTGCACAAACAGTTAACGACAGATCCAACAGATAGAATGCAGCAGCTTCTTACCTTTTGAAAAAGAGCGGCATACAGCGGAACCTCTTTCACGATCTCCGCACCGAAAATCGCTTGACTAATAACGGTAATAGCCTTGTGTTTCTTGTCGATACCGAGTTCAGTAGCCCTCTTGTAGACGGCGACGCAGAAGGCCTTGGGGTCGTCGGCTTCCTCCTTCTTCTCCTCAATCCATTTGCCTAAAAGGGAGTAGGGGCTGTTCACATCGTCGTCGCTACCGTCGTCGTCACCACCGAGAACAGTATTGGCCAATCCAGCTTCAAGAGCTGCAACTCGCTCCTTAACGGCTTCTGGGGATGTGTCGGCAGACCAACCCTCGTTATCGATGGTAGCGGTGCTACTGAGACCAGCAGCCTCAGCTTTGATCTTCTTGGTGAGAAAATCGTCGCTCTCGTTGCCTGGGTCAACATCCTCGTCACCCTCCCCTTCGGGACTACCGGGGACAGGAGGTCCACCACCACCGACGCCATCGGCAGCACCCGCGACATCCCTCTTCTTGCCCTTCTTAACCTTAACAGGCGGGTTTTTGAGGATGAAGGTGGTCAACTTGTGACGCATGTCGATATCGGTACGCTCGCCGCAGGCTTTGCAGTCCCTGATGATCTCCTCGTTGCGCCCATGCTTGAGAATGACAAGATCCGTCTCCGGATTCTTGCACGACTTGCAGAGAACAAACTTTTCAATGAAAACGTCCAACAGCTCGCGCAAGCGATCAGGGTGATGGGCACCATTGACAATGTAGCGGTCGTTCTTTTCATCGAAAGTAGTTTGGGCACCGAGTTCACAACCAAAGAACTTGGTGGGGTATGTGGGCGGGCGACTGAGTGCGCGAGCGACGTCAGACATGTTAGGGACAACAGTCTTGATGCCATTTCCTTTGCCTTCGATTTTGGTGGTCAAAAGAGGCATGCTACATTATGCGTGAGCAAAGATCGCGGTATAACGGAATCACAGACACATACCGGTAACGGTAGAACTTGTCATCTACGTCACGACGAATATTGACGGTTTTGGAGGCCATGTTGGGCAAATGGTTGGTTTATTTAGCGCTATATAGAGAAAAAAATTAGTTTTCGTCTCCGAAGTGAAACGAAAGTAGCTTACAAGCAAACAAGATATGGGCAAACAACGTTTATGCTGCGGTATAGCAATTGGAGGACGAAGCATGAATTCTCTGCCGGGACAGAGTTTGCGGGTCTTTTTGGAGTAGATTGACGAAATGGTGAAGACTTCGCGGAGAACCTTCACAAATAAGTGGGAGGGAGAAGAACTGTTAACAGCGGTGCTGGAAGTCTTGGAGGGTGGTGGTGGTTTGGAAGAAACAGTGCTGCCACGCAACTACGGCTGTCAAAACTTTTTTGGATCGGAGATTCAAATAGGCGGCGGCATCTCGGATGTGCACTAGCCCGAGTCATAATTACAACGTCACCGATGCGGTGTGAAAAGGACCACTGACTAGTACTGACTTCTAGAATGATCCATTGAGGGTATAGTGACGAACCAACAGTCATTAAATAGGCTGAGCCGGTCGAAGGGTAGGTGCACGGGTTTCAGGCGCGAAATCCATGTGTCCATTTCCCCAAAAGCTTCGGAGGGATGGAATGCTCCGAGCACACGCAAGCATCGTCTCATAGTCCATTTCGTTTCCTCCTTGCCAAATTGTCAGATCCCACAGGTTCCAATCGTTGTATGTCCGTTGAGACATGTAATTGCGGAAGGTTTCCTTTAATATGGGTTCAGATTCGATGAGGATATCCTATTTTGGCAGAAATTAACATACCAATGATGTTGACGATGAGGGTTCCGTCGAAGCTGGCTCTCCAACAGACATCCACAGGAAGCGAAGTTGAGGCAAATCTCGAGCAAATGCATCGTAGGTTGCCCCGCTTAGCTGAAGGATATTCAGCCTAAAAGCAGTCAATCTGGGGCAAGCCTTTAACGCTCCCGCTAAAGATACTGCTTCTTCAACCTTTAGATAGCGGTCACGAACTGTGAATCTCGTCAGATTGTTGAAGGTACGAGAGACACAGTCATGCAGAAGGCTGATCCCGCCTGGTTGATTTGTGGGGCAGATATCCAAAGTATCGACCTTGGAGAAGCAGATCGGGCTGGACACGCAATCCTTGAACCACGAGCATAGTGGCTCTTCCGCAGCGGGGTCGAGCGCCAGCCCCATTGGGGTAAGTCGGATTGTGACTTTGCGGAGAGTGTTGGAACGAACTAGAAACTCTTTCAAACCTGCTGGGTTGCCTCTTAGCCCATGATTGAATGGAATGCGAATCAGGGTGGTATGGAGGGAAGTGAAGGGTTCTGCTTCGGCGAACAGGGGTGAAAGGTCCAGCTTTGAGAAGGAACGAATCTTTAGCGTCTTGACTTGCGGTGCCAAGCGGTTGAAGAAAGGCAGCACATCGTTTGCCAGGACATCGCCCTCCGTCGGATCGAGCACGAAGAGATTGTCCGAGAACTCGAGCTCCAGAGTTTCGAGCAAAGGAAAGGCCGGCTTCGCTTTAAGGAGCGACCTGTACCTCGGCAGGTTGGCGCAGAGAGAAACCCGATGGAGTTTGTGGCCGCATGTCTCCCAGATGAACTCGAAGAGGCGATCGAGGTCGAACGTGGGGGGAAGAGCCCATGGAACTATTCGGAGGTCTTCAAGGGTTGTCATCAATGGTATGAGTATGAACAGTTTGGCGACCATTCCATCGACGTCAAGAGGCCCCTGGTCCTGAGGGGCAGCAATACGTCCCATCACAGCCTTGATTGCGCCACGGATGGGATTGAGCCATCTGTTTTTGTTTGGGGTGGCACCTGTATTGCGCACCGGGCGAGGTGCGTTGGTGGGGTGGACGTGAAGATTCAGCTTTTTGATTCGCGAAGCGATCTGTGGCTCACTAGCGCAGATGTTGTATAAAGTGAATTCGGTGACGCTGGAAGGACAATACATACGAAATACGATCAAGCAACTTGCGAATATGAACTTCTCCCAAATCTAGACTGATTTCACGGTATCGTTTGTCGAGCCCGATGTTGAAAAAGAAGCGGTTGACCCCGATGAAGCTGTAGAGGTCTTCCTCGGAGAAGTATTCGATGATCAAGAACCATATCTCCAAAGGAAGCTCTTCCATTGTTGGGAGGTGAAGGGACTGGCGATGACTATGAGAGAGAAGATAAGCCAAACATGTTCACCTTTTGTATTGTCCGTCAGCACAGCCGTTGTCACCACCACCATCATGGTGACGCTGTGACAGGTGCTATCATCCGCACAAGACACGGGAGAACGTAGTTTCGGTGATAGATTATGGAATCCGTGTCGTGGATGAACATCGTGGCCCCAGAGGACATTGCCGTGGCGGTTGGAGGCAACAAAGACAGTGGGTCCGAATGAAACAAACTCCGCAGCAGCAGTGGCCCGGGTTTCCTCTGCCGTCGTTCTCATGAAATTGCTTGCATTCACTCTATCCAAGCAAAACCTGTACACGCCTCTGGTTTATCGAATCGGCGAAATAACTGGACCCGTACACTCTTATGCTGGACTATTGCGCCACCGTCTCCGCCGCCTGTCGTGCTCCGCGGGTTGCTCCACGGGCGCCTCTCGGGATTTCACATATTTCGTGTTAGGATGGTGAATCTACTTCAGATAGAATTGGGTCTATTCGCGGAAGGAACAAGTGCAAGTGTTTCGAACGACAGAGGCCTTCACGGTACCATCATCAACGATAAGAAGGCTCAAATTGTTGTCGACGACGAAGGCTAGCTTGCACGAATATAACTGTGATCACATTTGTGCTCCTTTTACTGCGGCGCCCCTTCTCGACCTGACTGCACATGTCCTTTGTGCCTCAATCTCAATACCGTTGCCATTTGATGACTTCGCTTCGCACAGTAAGCCAGCCTCTCATCACTTCCGGATGCCTGGATTCATTATTTACTGACCCCTAGATGGGTGTCGGCGCCATCGACTTTCCTGCCTTTATGGATTTTTGGTTTGGCAGCCATGTCTCAGCCATTGGCAGCTGGTATACCTGAGCGCACTCCACCTTGTACCTCAGCAAGCTCGGAACTGCTACCCCCGCCGGTATTCTCTGCGCTACCACGACCCCTTGGTACATGGAAGCTCTATCCTTTTAATTCAGGTCGTTGGCGTGCGTTGAAAGTCAATTCTGGCCTTCTTCAGACATATTTCCAATCATCAGGCACAGCACTGAAGGTTTTGCAATGTATTAGGGAGCCCAAGAGCCTATTGTGGGCGGTGAATCGACAGAGGTTTTGTCTGGGATCGTTGCCGACGTGCTATTTAAGAATTGCCCTTCGTCGCAATTCGACGAAGGTGATCATTGAAGCCTCTTGGCAACAGACCTGTCGGAGGCTTCG